AGAGAGAGAGAGAGAGAGAGAGAGAGAGAGAGAGAGAGAGAGAGAGAGAGAGAGAGAGAGAGAGAGAGAGGCAGGGGCACTGCATGCAACAATGGACACCTTACTGGTCAGTGAAACTGACACTTTCTATCCATGGTGTGGTTACAGAGGCGTGTGAGAGATCTTGAAGAGGCAATGGAAAGATTTGCAGATGGTGACAGCCAGGTGCTGCTCTGTACAACGATCATCGAGAGCGGTCTTGATATCTCCAATGTGAATACTATCATCATTGAGGACGTGCATTGCTTTGGCCTCGCTCAACTTTATCAGGTGAGGAGAATTTGATTTCCTGCATTGTCGGCAAAAGAAATGAAGAGAAACAGAAAAGAAAGCAAATCTTGTTCTCCAGCTGGGCTTAACACACCAGTGTGCATCTCCTAGCTATTTTGTTCTGATGTGGCAGCCTACCCGCCATGTTGACAGGGGCTTGGCCTACAGGATCAAGATGATGGCTGGTTGAGCCAGCCGGAGCTGCCAGACAAAAAAATATTGTGCGGGCACCGAGCAGCAATCCAGGTTGAGGGAAAGAGATGCAGAAGTTCCTTTTTTATTGTTTTGTTTTGTTTTGTTTTTTTTGTTTGTTTTTTGGGAACATTTCTCGATTTATGGATGCCATCCTTGCGCAGGGGCCGTGCTAATCTTCTCGGTATCATTCTAATTGTGACGGATGTCCCGGAGGACGAGGCTCAGAAGTTTTGGTGTTTTAAACCACAGCACCTCGCCCAGGCAAATTTCACGGAATCGAAATTGCGACAACCGGGGTTCTTTGGATGAACAGTGCGCCACTGAACTGAGATGGCCGGAGGCGCCAGCCAAGAAAGAGAAAATGTGCGCTGCTGGCTGGAGTTTTTTTTTTTTTTTTTTATGACGTGCAGTGCAAATCCACAGCGGGAGAAAGAGCCTCGGAGGTATCGGTGAATTAAGGGGTGCAAATCCACGGCGGGAGAAAGAGGCTCGGAGGTACT